TTACTGATAATAACCGTAATTAAATGGTATATGAGACAAATTTAGTGCATTTGGTTCTAGCCTCTGTTGGCTGGATTAATCAGAATGGCCATCAGAGTAGTTTACTCATGTAAAAATTCAAGTTTGGCCAACAGTGTGTCAGGCTGAGGAGTGAATTGTGAGAGGCAATCTGCCATAGACTGTGAGCATACCTGCACATTCTTGCAGAGTATGCCAAGAATRCAATCCCTTGACTGCTCTTTGCCTGGGCCATTTCTCAGGGTTGCCTTTATGTCCTTGTGAGCAACGTTGAGGGATGAGGTAATGTTCCCCCAGGAAAAAAAGCAGGCTTGCTTCCACTTGCTATAAAAGTGGTAAATCTTAGTGTTCGTCTCCTATAACATAACCTACTGCACAATGGGCCTATGCATCACCTCACTGGGATTTAGGAGCTTCAGGAACTGACACAAATGAACATGAAACACAGCTATGACTTTTGCTGTAATAAAGTCCTTTGTTTCTGACCCAGTTAGTCTCATGTCTTCTGCCAGCACCCATGAGACTGCCAGGCTAACTTTTTAGCTTACAAGTTGGGTAAAACATCAAGCACTGCACAGTTCCCGATACTTTTCTCCTTCYCAATTATTCTGAAGCAAATCTGACATATCAAACATAAATATTTTAACATGTATCAATTAGCTTTCCATCACTGTAACAAAATACCTGGGAAAATCAACTTATAGAGAAGAAAAGTATATTTTAATTCAGTTTCACAGGTRGTTGCTTGGTTCCCTTGCCTTTGGGTCTGTGGTATCRTGGTATATCATGGCAGGAATGCAWGGTGTAAGAGGGCTGTTCCACCTTATGGTAGCTAAAAAGCAAAGGGGAGATGGGAGGGGGTCTGGGTCTCCATACCCTCTTCAAGGTCGGCCCCCAATGACTTAAGTCCCTTCTACTCAGCCCTTCTGCTTTAAAGGTGCCACCACCTCCCAGTAGCACCACAAACTGGGGACATTGAGCCTTTAACACAGGGTCCTTTGTGGGACAGTTCAGACCCAACTACAGCAACCTCTAAAATGAGTCCTTAGAAACACAGCAGCCTGGCACGGGAGTGCACACCTGGAAGCCCAGATACTCTGGGATCAATCTCCAGGACACCATAACCACAAACCTCTAACATGCTTTCCCTGTCATTTGTCACCTGTGTAATGGGCGATTCTCTGTTGGAAGTTACTACAGTTTGGATCTGAATCCTCAGTCTGGGGCATTATTAGGAGGTGGTGGAACCTTTCAAAGGTGATTCCTAGTTGGATGAAGTTGGGTCAGTGGGGGCAGATATTGAGACCCTGGCCCCTTCTCTGTGTCCCAGCYGCCATGAGGTGAGCRATTTTCTTCACCATGTGCTTCTGYCATGAGGTACCCTGTTGCCACAGGCCCCAAAGTGCCAGGACCAACCAACGTGGACTGAAACCTTTGAAATCATAAGCCAAATTAAACCTTCCCTCCTTATAAGCTCTTTGCCTCAAGTGTTTTTTTTTTAATATTTATTTTTTAGTTGTAGTTGGACACAATACCTTTATTTTTTAATGTGGTGCTGAGAATCGAACCCAGGGCCTCATGCGTGCCAGGCAAGCGCTCTACTGCTGCGCCACAGCCCCACGCAGCCCTCAGGTGTTCTTAGTAGCAGGCAGTTAACTGACATAGACACAGGCCATGATAGTCTATGCGAGTGTGACATCTGTGAAGAGCAAGGGCTTGAATTTGCGAAAGCTATCCTAGAGTTAAGGTATAGCGGCTGTCAGCTCCTAAACATCTGTGATGCTRTAAGTTTTAATTTTGTGGTACAGGAGCCCTGAACCTAGGGGCGCTCTTTTTTGATTTTGTGTTGAGACAGGGTCTTGCTAAGTTATTAAGGTTGGCCTTGAACTTTTGATTCCCCTGCCACAGCCTCTCAAGTGGTTGGGATTATAGGCATGTGTCACCAGGTCCAGCCTCTAATTGTATTCTGTCAAAAGAAAATGTAACTTACTACCATAGCGGAAACTGATAATATCAATAGACTAATGAAACCAACTGCTAAGCTGGTCCTGTGGGCACATGCCTATAATCCCAGGGACTTGGGAGGCTGAGGCAGGAGGATCACAAGTTCAAGGCCTGCCCAGGCAATTTAGTGAGGCCCTGTCTCAAAAAAATTTTCAAAAAGGGCTGGGGCTATAGCTCAGTTGTAGAACACTTGCCTTGCACATGTGAGGCACTGGGTTCAATTCTTAGCACCACATAAAAATAAATAAATAAAAATGAAGGTATTGTGTCCATCGATGACTATATCATATATATATATCAATAAAACCTTCATTTTATTTATTTATTTTTATGTGGTGCTGAAGATCGAACTCAGGGCCTCGCATGTGCTAGCTGAGTGCTCTACCGCTGAGCCACAACCCCAGCCCCACTAAAAAAATATATTTTTTTAAAGTTTTAAAGTTTTTTTT